CCTCTCGGATCTCATCACAAGTCTATTCTCTCCCTTGCTCACTTTGATTCAGCCACACTTGAAGCTCATTCTTGCCTCAGGGCATCTGTACATGCCATTCCCTCTGCCTAGAACACTATTCCTCAAAATATTGCAGATCTGACATTCTTATATAAATGAAGCCTCACCTCCACATCATCTTATAGAGACCTTCCCTGACCACCAACAAAAGTAGTTATTCCCCATCCCCTAGTCCCACCTTATCCCATTATCCTTACTGCCTTCGTGCATAGATCATGATACAAACTGTCACAGTGACTTACTGTTTGCCTGTTTATATACTATCTTCTCCCTCCACCCTTCCAGAATGTAAGCAGTATGGGATGCTGCCTCTCTCTTTGAACGTTGCTGTATTCTCAACGTCTTTAACAGTGGTTTGATCCACAATATGCCCTCAATAAATATTTCTAGAATAAAAGATTAAATGGATGAATGTATGAACACATGTACCAATTCAAGTTGCTGAAAGAAGTTACAATATAGGCTAGGTGCAGTGGCTCATGCCCTCAATCCTAGCACTCTGGGATGCCAAGGTGGGAGGATTGCTTGAGCTCAGCAGTTCTGAGACCAGCCTGAGCAAGAGCGAGACCCTGTCTCTACTAAAAATAGAAAATATGAGCCAGGTGTGGTGGCACGCACTTGTAGTCCCAGCTACTCGGGAGGCTGAGGCAGGAGGATCATTTAAGCCCAGGAGTTTAAGGTTGCTGTGAGCTATGATGACACCACTGCACTCTAGCCCAGGTGACAGGGTGAGACTCTGTTTCACAGAGTCTCAAAAGTTCACAAAAGTTCAGTATAGTCAGGGCATAAAGACACAAAAGTTCAGTACAGACACAAGACAAAAAAGACACAAAAGTTCAGTATAGTCGGGGCATAAAGACACAAAAGTTCAGTACAGACACAAAACAAAAAAGACACAAAAGTTCAGTATAGTCGGGGCATAAAGAATGGGCAATGGCAAGGGATGAACCAAAGGTGTCTATAGGCAGCAGGCCCATGCAGGGCTTCAAAAGCTTTGTTAAGGAAATTGAATTTTACTCTGAAAGTGACTAGACTATAAGTTCCTTTAGTCCAAAGACAGGTCTATAGTTACACAAAAGAGCAGAGAGGTTTTGAAACTGAGAAAAGAGATGAGTTGTCTTCTGATACTCACTTTTGTCTGAGTTGTTAGTTTTGTGAGCTGTAAATGCAAACTGCCCTCCTTGCTTAGTGCTTTAGTTTGTTAGGACAACGCATCATCCTTTGACACGGAAGAAAAAGCAGTCCAGTGGGGGAAGGTGGGAAGACAGATTTCACAGAGGGTGCAGGGAATCAAAAACCAGAGTCTGGCCAGTGGAAGAACATGGAAATGGGGGAGAAAAAGTGATGAAGGGAAATGGAGAGCAGGCCCCACCAGCAGTGCCTGTTGCCCTCACGACACAAGGCATGGGGCGTCAAGAATACTGGCATGAATGTCTATCAAGGGACTCTGAAGCCCGTGTAGCTGCCGAGAGGAGAAAGGTCAGAGGTGCACCAAAGGCTCTCAACTCTGCTCCTGGGTCAGAGCAAGGTGGGAAGAAGCTGGGGAGGTGGGAGCTACAGAGCAGGCTGAGGGCTGGGGCTGCAGGGAGCCTGGGCTGATGAACCCCAAGTCATACTGCTAGGAGATGAGCATATTCTGGCAAGGGAGAGAAGGCAATTTGCTCACAGGAAACTCATCATTAATGTGATTCAGAGGATTCCTGATGAAACTGGAAGAGGGTAAGAGAAAAGGGCTGATAATATTATCAAAGCAAACTGTACAGGAGCCAACATATTTGATATGGAGCACCTACTATGTCTCAGGCATTGTGCTAAGTAAACACTTTATAATTCATTTATTTGATTTAATCTTTGTAACAACCCTATGAACTAAGGAAAAAAATGAGGTTTAAAAAGCCTATATAATTTACACAAGATAACCCAGCTAGAAAGTAGTAGAGCTGGGATTTGAACCTAGGTCTATCTGACTTCAGAGACTAAGCTCTGTGAGGGGGTACTTAAGGGAAAAGAAATAGCTATGGTAGTAAGTCAGGGGTAAATCAGCTGGCCTGGACATTGGTTGTTGGTATTGCCTTTACCCCATCCCGACAAGTCATTTCTTAGTTCTCTGCCCATGGTCCTCTGCCCATAGCCCTAACGTTTCCTTGGGAGCTAACTTTCAGTCCCCATGGCCTGAGTAGGGCTCCACCTCTGGTTTTCAAAAGTGAAGCATGTGTCTCAGGCCTGTGCCAATCAGCATGGTGCATTCCCTGGCCATAGTAGATAGTTTAGGGTATAAACGTGGTCTAAGCCTGTCTCATCAGAATGAATCTGGAAAAGACTCTGGCTCTTTCCTACTGGACTTTAACCTTGATGACATGAGTCTAAGACCACTGCAGCTATCTTGCCACCAGATCTTAGATGTCCCAAGGATCTCCACTGCAGCTCAAGACTGAATTCAGCCCATAGGTGGGCAGAACCTAGAGCCTAAAAGAATGATTTATAATGACAATGTCTGAGCCTTGGACCAAGTTGTTTCTAAGATCTGTCTTGAACTTTTCAGTGACATGAACCAATAAACTCCCACCTTTTTAAGGTAAATTTGTCTGCATTTTCTGTCACCTGCAATCAAGAGTCCTAATATAGGCTGGCTGCAGTGGCTAATGCCTATAATCCCAACACCTTGGGGGGCCAAGGTGGGAGGATTGCTTGAGCCGACGAGTTCAAGACCAACCTGGGTAACATAGTGAGACCCTACAAAAAAACAGAAAAATTCACCAGGCATAGTGGCATGTGCCTGTAGTTCCAGCTACTCAGGAGGCTGAGGCAGGAGGATCTCATGAGCCTACGAGTTTGAGGCTACAGTGAGCTATGATGATGCCACTGTACCCTAGCCTGGGCAACACAGTGAGACCCTATCTCAAAAACAAAAAGAAAAAAAAGAGAAAAGAGTCCTAATATATAACACCATTCATAAAGAAAGCATCTGCCTGTGTGAATAAGGATGGAAGCATCTGAGTGAGAATTACAGAGGGCGAGAACAAAATGCTACTCTGGGGGCCACCCACTTACAGAGATGGAGGTCTTCCAATGCAGATCACCAACCTGGAGGAGAGGCAAGATTTAGCCCTGCCTGATGAATAATTTTAACTAACCAAATGTCTGAACATCTTATTCTGGAAAAACAGAACATTTAATAAGTGTGTATTTGCTTGGACGACAATTTCAGCTCTCAGAAAGTTAAGAGGAAATGCTATTATGTCTTTCTTGTGACTTGGATGGTAGAACAGGCTGGTTTCTTTTGTAAAAAAATGGAAGAAATCTTGGTCAAACCTGATCATGTGGTTTTAAGAGTTTATTAAGATCATATTAAGAATAAATGTCAAAAAAATTTCAGAGAAAAGCCAGAGACAACATAATGGCCTGAGACCAGGCAAAGGGAAGGAGCCCTTCCCCAACCAAAATCTGATAACTAAAAAATAACCAAATCTCTGCTAGCTAATTAATCCTAATGGTTCTAGGCAGACATCATTTATCAATCACAGCATTTTTTTTCCTGTAAAGTCCAATTTCATTGTCAAATTCTCTTTTACCCAGTACCCTAGTCAGCCACAATGAATTCAGCAAAGTTGGGACAGAGGAAGAAACCATTTGACATCTCTGCTGTAACAACAGGGAACTTGTAGAGCTCAAATTATAAAAGGATATGTAAAAGAAATGCAAGGTGGTGCACAAAATTAAGCACAAATCACAGTGGAATGGGCCCACATGAATGATGGCAAAAAGGGTAAAGTCTAGAAGGAGCTAAGGTTTATTTATTTAAAGCAAAACAAAACAAAAACAAAATTTCTGTTTTCATAAGAATTAAAATATAGGATGGAAGGGCTTTAAAAAAGATGAGACATAGGTATCTCTGCTTGGGGAAGATGGCCCAGCATTAACAGAGAAAGCTGAATTCTTCAACTTCTGGACTTATTTCCATGTCTTCATCAAGAAGAATGATCTTCACCAGGAAAAGGAGAAACACCTTGGTTAAGAGAGACTGAAAGTCCAAGATGGGGAGGAAGAATGGAAAGCCCCAGCCTCCCGTAGCTGTGCCTCAGGGACCCAAAGGGAACTTGGAGACAGGCTCAAAGAACCTCTTGGGTGATCTCTGAGAGATCAAAGGAAACAGGGAAAAGGGGCCAGAATACGAGGGACTGGCAAACAGCATCCCGGGTCAGCCGTCAGCAACATGACAGGCAGTCTGTAGCAGATTTTCAGCATGCAAGACCTTTCTTGACTGCCCTCCCCCTCAAAATCTGGTGCTCCAAGCTTGTCCCTTTCACCACACACAAGAAGAAATAAGAAGTACACGAATGCCAGTTTCCATGGCTATAGATCCCATATAGTCATTTCACCCTTCCAGGCCTTAGAGTTTCTGTTTTTCTTTTATTAAGAGACAGGGTCTTACTCTATTACCCAGGCTGAAGTACAGTGGTGTCATTATAGCTCACAGCAGCCACAAATTCCTAGGCTCACATGATCCTCCCAAGTAACTGGAACTATAGGCACATGCCACCACACCTGGCTAATTTTTTGAAAAAGATTTTTTAGAGACAAGGTCTCACTACGTTGCCCAGGCTGGTCTCGAACTCCTGGCCTCAAGCAATCCTCCCACCTCAGCCTCCTGAGTAGCTGGGATTACAGACAGAAGCCACTGTGTCTAGCAGTATTTCTATTTAATGAATAAAATGGACTAGATAACTTCTAGGGGACCTTCCGGCTCTGACAGGCAACATGTGTTAGCTGTTTATGCATCCTCCTCCTGGAAGTACTCATTGTTAAAAAGGATTTCAAAGAGAGGGCAACAGTTAATATAAGTGAGTGAACAATGGAATTTCAGGCACCCAAGATGATTTATCTGGGTCCCCATGCTAGCGTAGGAAGTGGTCTGGCAGGGACCCTCCATCAGGACTGACCTCTTCAGTGACGATCGGGACAGCACCTGCGCAGCCTGGTTCATGGCCCTGACCCAAGCGTTCATGTCTTCCTGGGTGTCAGCACTGAAGTAGTAGGTCCTCATGCCCGAATGCTCAGCCTGAGAGCCCACCGTGGAGCTGTTGTAGATGAGAGCTCGCATCCCCGTGTGCACAGCCTGTAGGCATGCAGATGGAAACGCAGGTCAGAGAGAGGTTAGCACACATTTCCCTTCCAGGAGCAAAACCAAGGAGGCACTCTGGCCACGTTCGTCCCCTTCCAGGCTAAAAGCCCAAGCACTGCCCAGCTTGTTTTTACACCTGGAAAACGTCACAGGCTAGATTCCTCTTTCTTAGTGCAGTCAGGCCCAGTGACAGCTGTGTCTGTTCCCCACAATAAAAGCCCCACAGCTGTACATGTTTCCTACTTATCTCCCTCCTGCTTGGGGTATTGGGTGGGGGGAGCACAGAATCAAGGCTTATGTCAGAAACAGGTGTTTTTGTTTTTTTTTTAAAACCCTCATATTTCATAGAAGTAGACTCTTGGGAATTCCTGTTTTGGCTCTTCTGAAGACTGTGATTCCTGCTTTGGCTACAATCAAACAAGAATTAAATCAAAATCAACTGCAACAGCAGGTGGCTTGGTGTGAATGTTCACTGCGCCTCACTGCTCAGGCATGAAATGTGGTGTGCGCTCATCAAGGAAGCAGCTGCTCTGTCTCTCCAAAAAAGTCACTACAGAGCTAACAGTTCATTATATATTCTTGCACACCTACTATGTGCTTCTGCCTCAAGATGCTTTCAAAGAACCTGGAAAAAGGTACCGGCAATGACCGCTGAAAAACAACTGGGATGCTTTGCAAACTAGAGGCAACACCAGTTTTCCCTCTCATGCTCTGATAAAGCAGGGGCCTGTCCTTTAAATTTGCAGAGAAAAATCTCACCAAATCTACTTCGGAAGATGGTGCAGCAAGAGGAAGATTTACAAAGTACCTACTATGTGTCTCCTGGGTACTCCCACAACTTTATTCTCATTTTAATCCCAATAGCCATTGCTTCTTGGCTTTTTCGCTAAGATCAAATACAATCCCAACAGACTTGAGAGGTAGACACAGAATTTCTGTTCTACAGATGTGGCAAACAAAGTTCTGAGATGCTAAGTAACTTTCCCAGATTTACACACCTGGTAACAGATTCTGATGCTATTTATACATTTGTTTATCACTTTTTTACCATCTGTATATCCTCCCTTTTTAAGCCATGAAAGCAGGAATTTTGTCTATTTTATTCACTACTATATCCCCAGGAATAGTACCTGGTGCATAGTAGATGCTCAATAAATATTTGTTAAATGAATGAAGAATTAGCATCCACATCTGATTCCAGGTCCATATTTCTCTGTATAATGCTCCCAGGTTTTATCCAGAAATGAGGGCGATTATACAGATTACTCATCTGATAATCTGGATACAGAATGAAATGTAGATTCCACACAAGGACCAGTCAGAGGAAACAAAATGAGAATCAAAAACTGGAAAATGACATGCTTCTAGAATTACTAATGGTCATGGATGAAAACCTCTCAGATGAACCTTTACTGTCCACTTCTCCTCTCTACATTCTTAATATCCAGGTCCAAAATGCATACCTAATACAGGCCTGCTGCTGACACTCACATGTCTGAGTCCATCCAGCCCAGTGCCAAGGGAGTCTGAGCAAACTTGGCCTACAGCCAAGGGTCTCTATAGTCACTACAGCAAACCTGCTATCTTTCCTTTACATGTATAAGGTGTCCTCCACTGTCCCAGGAAGGATTCCTTTTGTTTTAAGCAGGGTAAAGATGTGGCAATAAGAACACAATGAGAAGAAACTTGTGCATGCCTTACTGTAAATAAGTAGAAATTCTTAGAAAAGAATTTCCTGGACAATGACAAGATCTGACAATCATCCCAGGGTTTTTTGCCCAGTGACAAAGGGTTCTGGGACAGGCATCCACCCCACCAGACACAAGCATAGGGGCATATTGTACCAGGGTACAATAAAGAGTAGATCTCTCTGTACAAAAATTCATGGAGCCAGCCTTGTCTAAGAAATCAACATGGTACATACCTCGAACATGCAGGCATGGTTTGCATGTGTGTCTACAAATGAGACTTAAGAGTTACATTTACCATTGCAATGGAGTTACAATCAAATCAAACTGCCAGCAGGTGCTGTGTCCTGAGTAACAGGTTCCCAGCCGCATTCTGCCTATGTTAGGGAGGCATGTTAGATGTATTAACTGCAAAGCCAAGAAGTACAGGGAGTTTCCTTTTCATCTGGCTGAGCCAAGCCCAAAGTGCCCTGAGCCTGAGGAAGCAGCCAGAACCCAGATAATGTGAAGTCTTCTCACTTCTGCCCTACTCTTATCTCAGAGATGGTCCCTTTTCCTCTACCCTTTGCTTTGCAGTTAACACAATCCTGCTAGGCAACTCTGCATAACCTAACAGAACCAGGCTAGGCCTAAAGGAAATAAGGATGTGAGCAGAGAAGAGTTTTCCTCAAAGACATAATGCCACTAGGAGATGAATGCTCCTGGCTCTTGCACCTCAGGTCCAGGTACCCCACTGGTGAATGGAGCCTCACACCTTGAGCTCCCAAGGTCAGCATTTAGAAGAGGAAGAGATGGATCTGAGAGATACACAAAGAATAAAATTGAAAGGGGAGAGGAAAAAGGTAGAAAGTATAGGAGCACCCAGAAGGCCAGAGTCTATCAGCTGACTGATTCATTCTCGAACTTATTCAACAATAATTTATTATTTACTGAGTAGTTATTATGCGAAAAGCACCATACTAGAAGTTGGAGGGACAGCCTTAAACAAGGCCATGATGATTTACAGCCAACTAGAAGAGAAAGACCATGAACATGAAGTAACTACAACTGTAATAAGTGTTATCAGTAAGCTCAGGATGCCATGAAAGAGGGGGACAGGGGAACCTGGCCCCACCTGGAGAAGACTCACCTGAGGAGCTGAGGCTTGACCTGCCTTCCACAAGAGAAGCCGCTGTTTGAGTAGGAGTAGCGGGGAAGAGATGTGTGGGGCCTCAAGAAGGACAAGAACACACAGCGTGTCATCCTCAAGGAGGAGGCCGGAGTGACTGGTACAGAGAAATGGGGGGGAGAGCTGCACGAAGGGGGCTTCTGAAGTTGGCAGGGCTAAGTGTCATGTCAAGGTTTTGTCTTCATTGAAAGAGCAATGAGAGGCTATTAAAGGGTTTAAGCTGGTGGGGGTGATATGATCAGATTTTGTTTAGAAAGACCACTTTGGCTGCAGTATGAGGAAAAGGTTAGAGCTGGCAGGATCATGTGGGGGACTTGGATCAGGGGCCACCACGGGAGCACATGTGAGAGATGGTGGTGGAGGCAGAGAAGGGGAGGCAAGGATGGAGGCTGCAGAAAACTCGCAGCTAATATCAATAGGTAGGCCTTGCTAATGGACTGCATATGGGAGGTGAGGGAATGGCGAGTGTCAAGGACGAGATTCTCAGGTTTATGATGTGTCCATTTCCTAAGAAAAGAAACTTTTCACATCCAACCATTGGTCTGACTACAAGCAGCACAGTGAACAGGGTAAGAACTTGGGCTTTTGGAGTCAGCCTGAGGTCCAAGCTGGGCTCTGCCCACAGGGTAACCCTGGATAAATTGCTCAGCCTCCCATGCCTCAGTTTCCTCATCTTTAAAATGGGACTGTGGGTAACAGTAGTATTGACCCTATAAGGCCACGTGAGGATGAAACCAGATAATGCATATAAAGTGCATAGAGCACAACCTGGCATTTGTAAAGCTCAAAAGATATTAGTAGATGCTATTACAGGAGCAGTCACTGGAGCAACCTAAGGAAGTTGACTGAATGAGCTTTCTAGAAACTTAAAGACTCTTCTTCCTCTCCTCCCCATCACTAATTTACGGGGGACTAAACATGTAATATAAGTAAGCTTGAACCCGCCATAACCTGGGGAGTGTGAGCACTATTGCTGACGGCGATTCCTGCTGCAAATGGCTGTTTCGTGTGGTCCCTGTGGAACAGGACCAGGACTGCTTTCTGTTTCGTGTGGAACAGGACTAGCCCTTTTAGCCAGGCAGAACTAGCCGATGGGCAAATCAACCACTTACAGCTCAGTGACAAAGAGCCATGGAAGTACAGAAGAAGGGTACCCATCGTGTCCAGAGGGCTCAGGGAAGGCATCCCAGAGGAGGTGACCCTGAGCAGAGAACTGAAGGACAAGTAAGAGTTGGGGAAAGGGCATCCCAGGTTGTGACTGACGCTCAAACAGAGGCCTATGGGCAAGAAACATTCTGGGCCTTCGAGTACCTGTGTATAGCTGAGGGAAGGTATAAGACAGGACTGGCTAAAAATGTGACTGGGGAAACACGCTAGGGTCTTGTAAATCAAGACTGGGTTTTACTCTGAAGGCAATGGGAAGCCTCTCAAGGGTTTAGGATGGGAGTACAACCAGAACAAACGTGCAGCTTGGGAATAGTGTGGAGGATGGATTGGAAGCTGCAGGAGTTAGAAGGCTGAAGCAGTGACAGCCAACACTTACAGAGCACTTACTGTGTACTATGCACTGTTCTAGCAGTGAGTCACCTAGGGGAGGGATGGTGGCAGCAGCAGTGGAGAGGAAGAGATGGATCTGAGAGATACACAAAGAATAAAATTGAAAGGGGAGAGGAAAAAGGTCTGCTCTAATAACCCACATGCAGATGCAGACTTTAGAACGAAGGCATATATACTTCCAATAGACTATCCATGCAATACTGGTCTGTTGAATAGAACTAAATACAAGAAAAATCATGTCTCTTAACATGTCTTCAGCCAGAATCTAGAGCAGCAGTCTTAACTTCAGTGGCATGGACATTTTTGACAGTTTGGTGAATCCTATGAACCCTTCTCAGAATGTTAAGCACACAAAATAAAGGAAATAGATTATATTGAAATATGTTTATCAAAATATTTTTAAAATGTGTGGTACACTATTACAGGGGCTTCTCTAATGATATATTATATAACAGTTATAGTGGCAGATATAATAACCATTGTAATTTCAAAGTGGTAATGAGCACAAATGATATTTTAAGACATTTGCAATGACTGCAATATGATAGGAAGTTATTTATCGTTTCTACTGGTGACCAAGTCACAAGTACCATTGATACACGTTGTGACTGCTTTCTTAGTTGAAAGAATTGTTGTATTTCAGTTGAAGGTTAAAAATAAAGATGTGATTTATCTACAACACTTGGGGGTCTATAGATCTCAGGGTAGGAACCCTTGGTTTTGAGAGAGGGAGAACAGCTCAAAGGGTGGCAGTAAAGGCATTTTCCCCATTCAAGACCCTCAGACTGACTCCCAGCTGCATGGGGATATTTTCTGCTCCTGATCCTGGATCTAAGGAGCCAAGCTTGCTCAGAGATGACCAATAGGCCAAGGAAGGCTGTGCATCCAACAGGAGGTCTGCTGAGAGGCCCCCAGGTGAGTCAGCAGAGCAAGAAAGGCCTGCTGGTCAGGGCAGAATAGCTCCTAGAGGCCCCCAGGAGTCCTGCTTGGCTCATCCTGCAGTCCTGGCTGAGCCTAAAGGTCTATCTTGCAACCAGACTTCCTGGTGAAGCCTAGGGGCTACCAGGCTGTGGGCACAGTTGGCAAAAAGATGACAAGGAGAGGACCATATGACCTTTTAGGCTTTCCTACCTACTATTGCAGATACTCCAAACAATCTCAGGTGAGGTGCCCTAGCAACTGCTGGAGAACTTCAATTCTGGATATAGAGAAGAACCAACATCAGAGGCAAGTATAAGGCCCAGGACACAAAACACTGTATTTTTTCAGTATTTCCAAGAACATGGATCCTGAACTGCCCCCAGGGTCCAGTTGTGGCCCCTAAAAGAACGATGCTGAAACCCAAAGGAAAAGGTAATTCTTTCAGACTCAGGAAACTATCGCCCCTTCTGGAGAACCAGCTGAACACCACCAGATCTGTCTGCAGTAGCTTTATTCTGCCCTCACACCCTGAGGACCCTAAAGACACCCCAACCCCCACCCAATACGTGATGCCTTCTGTCTCCCAGACAAAACCTTTAGGGAACACTCTTGGTGAAGTCTTTCTAAGGAAAATTTTTTTAAAAGAAAAGAAATGTAAGACACATAAAAGATGTCTGCCTAGAATCCATTTTCACACCTCCCAGTGAAGTGTTAAGATGAAATACAGATACAGTTATGATAAGTTACTTTGAGGACATTGCAAATGCTGTCCTGCCCCAAATCACATGCAACATCGTTACCCCAACTGTTTGCCGACTAGCAATGCTCAAACCCTAGAAAGGAGGGTTTTCTGAGGAAGACTTTCAGGCTGCAAAAGACCAAACTGAAAGCCATTGGACAAAATGTTTTCAGAGCCAGCAATAAGCAGGACGCTCTGAGCTTTGAAACAGAAGTGTTCCTAAAATGACACAATAAACATCAGTCAATTTAAACCACCTCTTCTGCCTCTTGCGATGTGTGTGTAGCAGGTGACCAAGGCATGGAAGAAACAGCAGGGAAGAAAAGAAAATAATTGTACCCCCCCCCCCAAGACAACTGAAAGAGGATAGAATTCAGGGCCAAGTTCTGCCCCCTTCATCTCCCAGCTTTGCAACTTGGGGCAAGTTTCTTAAGCTCTCAGATTCTCACATTCCTAATCTATAAAATGAAGGTAATAATACTGCCCTCAATAATGAACATTAAATGAGGTTATATGTATAAAAGTACATCCCACATCATAAAAGGGTTTACAGATATAAGGCAATACTATTCCGCGCAATATGAAGTGAGGCAGGATTCCGGAATCACCAATCCATAGCAATTATGGAGTGACATTTGATAGCATCACTCAAGGAAGAGAGAAGTACAGCTCAACCTGCCAATGAACAAAGCTGAAGCACCAACTCATCACTGAGCTCCCTTAGGAAGGAAAAGCAAAAGGAAGATGAGACTGACTTTCTGACCTCTAGCACCATCACAGATTCCAAGACACTGATAGAGACTATCATTTTGCAAGAGCCTTTCCACAGACTGAGGACTAGCCACTAACACCACAGACATTACCTACCATGGTTTCCTTTAACCCTTCCAGAGAACACTGGAAGTCTTATCTTGTGCTTTCCCATGGCCCTTTTACTATCCATGGCTGGAAAATGTGACTTCTATCAAGCTCTGCTTTGGTACCTACTATTGAGTTCTCATCTTGTACCCGCAACATGGGGATTGCCAAGCAACAAAAGTAGAAAGGGCAGGAGCTCCCTATCCCAGCATTGCCCCATGTCCTGAGCAGCTATGAGAGGGCTGTGCTCTGTGGCTACTGGCACCAAGGGCTGCTTGTTTCAGTGCTCTCTGGGACTCCCACTCCAATGGCCAGTAAAGTAGGTCTTCAGTCCACCCTATCCTCACCATCCTTGGGGGACCCAAGAAATACCTGCAGTGAAGGAATCTGTGGAGGCCACCAATGGTGAAAGCCTCGGGACTCCAAAGTTTGAGCCTAACCACCACCTTCCTAGAGCCTCCACACCTGGCCTCACAGGTGCTAGAGGGCATCAAAGGACTGCCAGCCATTATCCTGGCCCCACTCACTCCAAATGGCATGGCAACAGAGGAAGCAGGAAAGGAGTTTCGCTGGTAAAAGGATCTGCTTGGGAAACATTAGTGATCTAGAAAATAAACCAAATTTCATTCTAACTGCTTTTCAACAAGATAAACAAAAGGGACAAACCTGACAATCTCTTCAACGTGCTGGCCCCTAATGCTCAATGTGAGTTTTCATAAAATAATTGATATAAATCCATTATGAGGGGTCATCAATTGCAGGAAATGGCTGGATACTAGTTAGACTGGCTGATTAAGGTGATAAGAAAGCACAAGAAGGGCTATGTTCAGTATATAATCACAAGACTGGGAGTGAGGCCAAGCGTAGTGGCTCACAGCTGTAATCCCAGCACTTTGGGAGGCCAAGGCGTGAGGATCACTTGAGGCCAAGAGTTTAAGGCTGCAGTGAGTTATGATTGCACCTCTGTACTCCAGCCTGGGCAAGAGAGCCTGTCTCTGTTTTTTTAAGAAAAGTCTTTAGTAATTACAAAAAGAAGGGTCTAAATATTTGAACACTGCTGGGCATCTCCAAAGCTCAGATTCAAATGAAAGTACTGGTGATGTGATATTATTATCCTCATTTAAAATTTATAGCCTTGTCTTTGTTAACCTATGTCTGAAACTCTCTAGCATCTTAACTTCTTCCTCCTTTTCAGAAAAAAGCAGCTGCTTTTATGAAGGTGTCTTTTTGAGAACACCAATTTTCTTAAGGTGGAACTGCTGCACTAGAGGGGAAGGGGCGGTACCTTAAAGGAGTACTTGCGGCTTATGCGATCCTCAGGGGCCACTGGTGAGATCACGTAGCTGGGCAGAGGGATGCTCCCGAGAACAGCTTCTTCTCGGCTGTCTTTGAATGGAAAAAAACACATCAGAACCACCTTCTGGGCACTTTCCCTGGGCTGGTCCATCCCACTGCCCTGCTTCAGGGCCCCTTCTGTCTTCCAAGGACTATAGCAATCTCCTCTTAACTGATCACACAGGTGCTCCCTGGGCACCTCTGTGCTAATGCTGGAACCACAGGGGTGATTCCAACAGGGCCCCTTCCTTGATGGGGAAGACAGGCGTGTAAACACCCTCAACCTGCTAACTCCTGAAACTGAGCCGGTGCTGTGAGGACACAGAGGCAAGGATGGCACAGTCTGGGGAAGTCAAGAAGGCTTCAGAGGATAATGATCTTCAAGGATGAGGAAGGGCAGTCTGGATGGAGCAAATCTCATAGGCAAAGGTACAGCATATATGAAAAATCCTACCTTATACTTCTATTCTCTCCTTCCTCAAAGCATCTCCATCACTGGAGGTAACTTACTTCCTAGTGACAGAGTTGGTCCTGTTGCTCTCCTACTCAAAGGCACTTGCTGAATCCCCACTAGATACAAAACAAAGCCCAAATTCCCATGCCATCTGTGATAGCCCTTTCATTTTGGCTCTTACTCACCTCCTAAGCTTTATCTCTTAGTATATCTTCCATGCAAGACTCACCTGGTCACCTTCTTCTGCTTCTAGATCTTTACTCAAGTTATTTCCTCTCCTTGTAGTAATGTCCATCTCCCCAAAGCTCTATGCATTCTTAAAAGCCCAATTCAAATCCTCTCTCTTCTTTTTTTTAATGGAGACACCTTGCTATATTGTTATTTTTATGGCCCATTGTCATATACATATATAATTTTATAGCACTCTATTGTAACAGTAATAAAGTAATACCTTGAGAGTAATGTGAGCAATACTGATTAATGCTATGCTAAACAATCTCAAATCATATAGGAATTCTTGTGTCAAAGTTATGTAGAATTTCAGTCTCTTCTTTTGCTTGAACAAATCACTTCATATAATCAATTTCTCTGCTATTGCAGCGAGCTATCTCTAATTTAGTAAAATTTGGAAAACAGAGTATCAAAGTTTACTTAAATTCTATGTAAAGTAAAAAGCTAGTCAGTATCCTGTGAAACCTCTGTGTTTTACTTTGGAAAAAAAATCTTTCCTCAAATCCTCTCTCTTCTAAGAAGCCTCCCCAGATTCTCCAACATGGAATTCACCTCTCACCCCCTCTGAAATGCCTAACAACTTTGGCTGTCTTTTAAAGCACAAATCAGTCTGGTCTGGTCTTCAAAGTAAGCTGTTTATTTGTTCCTCCACATTCTGAGACTTTCTTCTCAACACTGTACCGTCCCTAATTTTATATACTGGAGCTCCATAAAAACTCAGGTGGCCAATTCACCAGTTGCCCATGCAATATCACAGAGGACAAATTGCAGGTGACAGATTACAAAATACAATGATTTATCCATACTTCTCACCAGTCCAAATGTGCGTATGTCTCAGGTGGGGCAGAAGCTGAGATGACTCTGGATCTTAAGACCCTAAGCAATAGGCAGATTGGATTCTGTTTAGTTTAACTCAATAGATTAAATTTCCTGTGTCGGGACTGGTAAAACTAGAGTCACCCACCATCCACATATGTAAAAGTGAACATGTTGCCAGTGTAACAGGCTGCTATTTAGCTCAGGCCATTGGTCTCATCATTGAGTTTGAGAAGACTGCCATTTGTATCCCCTCTCCACTTGGGCTATCACAAAGAGCCCTTGGTGGCCAGAGCTTCAGCTCACCTTTATAATAGAACAAGCAATAATCAGCAAGCACAAACCACCTCCTTTTCCACAGCCTCATTCCAGAACTGTCCTGCAAAGCAAAGCAAACAAGTCAGGGCAATATCTGAGCATATTGTTCCCCCTCCCCAGTCATGTATACCGATTCTGGAACCAAGACTTGCCCATATTCACTCTTTCTTTTAATAAATCAATGTTTTATTGAATAGCTATTCTCTGAATAGGACATCAAAATTCAGATTCAATGACAGTTTATCCCCAGGGAGTTTTATTTTATTTTTGTCTCCTGGAAATAAATTAATACAAGCCATCTTCTTTTAAAAAGCAAAATGTGAATTCAAAAATATAAGCCTCACATTAAGAAAATAATCAGTTCTTAACAAAAAGGAAGTTTTTGTTGGCTTTTTTTCTTATTTAGGTGCTAAGCTGTAAAATATCTTCATTTATGCTAATTGGAAAACTGAATTTACATAGAAAGAGTTTAAGTTTGAAAAGAGTTTAAGTCAGCTAATGAATTAACTGAGGCAAAGTTCCATTTGACTAAGCTCAGTTCTATACCATATGGTACTGATTTTGCTGCTGTGTCTTCCTTCCATTCAATATAAAAAGATTTGGATTCTCTTTGCTATCAAATTGTCTCATAACAAAATTCTGTCTTTACTCAACTAAAATGTAGAGATTTGTACTTATTAAGAACATTTTAAATAATTGCAAATATTCAAAAACACATGGCCAAGGTAGGAAAATAGCAATGTTTTGGGGTCAGTTTTCTCCCAAAGCCAGGAAAATTCCACAGCTTTTTTTAACTCTAGAAAAGCCTGTTAAAATATGTCTTCCTTCTGCAGCAGTTTTTGACAAGCTTGAATTAAAAAAAAAATGACAATTTCTAAACCTAAACACAATGAGGATTATTGATTCTCTACTTACTAAAATGCTAAAAAACAAATTTAACTTGAAGATTTCAACTATATATCAGTTTTATTATATTTCCTGCATATAAACCACATGATTTCTAAGGTCTTGGCACACGATATTTGCTTTGTTTGGAGAGCTCTCATCTATCCTTCCATGCCTGATTCAAACGTCACTTCCTCCAGGAAGTGTCCACAGCACTCTGCACAGATCTCTGCTACAGCTACCTGGGCTAGCGGGTAGGAGTTGGGGAAATGAATTATTTACAAACCCCTCCCCCTGACCCTCTGCATTTCAAAGAAACATCTTTGGTTTAGTGGAGACACTGATGCAAATGGAAGAAATCAGAGGGTTAAATGACTCTAGTAAGAAAAAAAGATGGGCAGATATAAGAGAAGAGAGGGGAAAAGAGCTGCGAGGGGAGAATGGGAGCAAGAGAGGGTGGTGCCAGGAGAGCCTGAGAAGAGGCTGGAGAGTTGTTGGAGCTGCCATGGGAGAACCAGGGGGAAAGATTCCAAGGGGATGTTCGGGATTTCTTCTGTGTGGTGTGCAACGTAATGCTTCCCTCTCTTTCCACAAAGCCTTGACTAAAACTGGCATCACTGCTTTGTGGTTTTTTTGGATCTGATACTATATGAGAGACTGGGCTGGGTGATGACTTAACACACCAGAGATGTGCTACCTGCTTCCCCTGGTAGGTGAGAGTTTCTCAAGCGCAGGAGCCACCTGTTATTCGTCTCTTGACACCTGCACTGAGAGCACTTACAGGGCAGGCACTGGGGGAATGAATGAATGAAAGGCAAGGAGAAGAGGAAGGTGAAAGAGATATGGTCTCTGGCCCCAGGAGCTCACAGCCTAGCCAGGGCCAGAGGACCAGAGGTGGATCAACTGGCCATGGGGATAGCAATGAAGGATGGCCTCGGCAGAAACAGAGTAGACAGGGCTTCCTGACCGAACATGTGGTGGGGAGGAGGATCTGGTGATGATGCTGAAGTTTCCACCCTGAGTGCCTGGGAGAGCAGGGGTACCATCACTCAGATCCAGAAAAAGCAGTCTGGGGGAAAGAGAGAGAGAGAGAGAGGGCTGAGAAGCCAATGAGCTGAGTCTGGCTGATGTGGAATGTCAGATGCTAGGTAGCTAGCTAGATATGTGTGCTAGACATGGGGGAGAGGAAAAGATAGACTTTTTCAGCCAAATGATGACAAAAACTCTTTGACATCAGGAAGGCAAGTGCTGGCAGAAGACTGGCAGTAAGGCTGGATTCATGCTGAGCCACCCACACCATGGCCTGGGTCCCAGGGCAGCCAATAGCTCCAGGGGCCAAACTGGTCAAGTCGGTTTTGGGAGAGAAGCTATAACCACTGATCGCATAGTCCATTCATAAGAACACACAGCAAGTCCCTCAGCACGGTGGGCAGAATCAACCTGTCCCAGACAAACTCAGGAACAGAAAGCTTATGAGCCTGTTCCCAGCTTCCTGGGGCAAGAGCCATTCCCCCGCCCCACGCTCACTCCTCAGCATCCTCACCTGCTTGTGCAGCCAGCCCCTCACCACCACTGGAACATTGAGGTTCCTCCGGATCGCCTGGTCCCTCTTGCCAAAGCTGTGGACTTTACTGCTGGACTTTATGATCTACGAGAAAGCAGACTTGAACTCTAGCAGTAGAGAACTTAGGGAGGCACAAAAAAGCACGTGTATGTTTGGAGGACTGTCGGCTCTTTCTGCCTTACTCTAAGCGGCAGGACCCTTTGATGAAAAGAACAGCAACGAGCCAGGAAACAGGCATGCACATGGCTACAGCATTCTAATTAAAAGGTGAGCCCAAGACCTGGCAAGCCTCCCAGCTGGGTCACAGAGAAAAAAATTTAAAGGGATTTTTCAATCAACTTTCAGCAGCTGTTAGCTCTAATATGTCCTATGGCTTTCTGGAGCAAAGCTACTTCTTGGTCACAGAGTTTGCCCATTTCCATATATTTTCCCCTCCTATCTGGGTTCACCTCTCAGCACTTTCCCTTTCGCCACAATGCTGGTTCTTTTCCCTGCGTCTCAGTGTTCCCACACCTTGAGCACAAAAACTTCTGGGCCCTTCTCAAAGGCACTCTTCCTCAGGCCCATCTGTCACCAAATCTCTCCAGGCTCTCTAACACACATCCACAGGCGGACGAGAGGTGTGGCCCTCCCCACCACGCCAGCAAAGTGAAGAACATGCTCAAGGTCCGAGGCATCAGTCCTGGGTCTGTCAGCAATCATCTATTCTCCTGAACAAGGGTTATAACTCCTCTTGGCCTCAATATTCTGATCTGTCATTTGGGGAGAGCACTTCTTATGGCTATCCCTCACAAAACTATAGAAAAGATCAATGGGCTTCCTTTTACAAAGGGGCTTAGCAAAATATAAAAGAGGGGGAGGAAGGAACACATGGCCAGGAGCTCACCTTGGGTCCAGGCTTTGCCTCCAGGGTGGAAGCGGTCCCAGCTGTGGACGTTTCACTGACCATGCTGGACGGTCTTTGGTTTCTCTCTTGCTTCGACATATGTGGATTTGGCCTGTGCGGAGACATAGGGGAATCCCGTGAGTCAGTGCCAAGCTGCCGAGTGGAAAGCGAAGTCAGATTTGTTCCAGATTGGAACTGGTTGCTGGGCCTTAAACAACTCAGGCCTGATCTTTTGGAGACCACCTGATTCCAGACTGCAGCCAGAGGGCCACATTGCCAGCCTAACCATGTGCTTCAGGGAAATAAGGATGACAGATGGCACGTCTCTACAGACTGACACCCCACAAAGGGGCCCAGATTGTCACCCTTGCCTATAGTCCTAAGGCCCCCACAGTCTTAATCAGGTGTCTGTTATGACAGTCTCATCTGATGGGCATGTATAGTCATACCATTCCTCTCAGCAAGCAAGAGCAATCCATACCCTTACATACACACACCTCCATTTCCCTGGCTCCCAAAAGAAGCTGTTTATAATTAGTAACAAGAAATCACTTGCACATACAACCACACCCCCAGATACACACAGAGAATCGCTTACATAAACACCAGTGGGGTTTGCCTCCCAAAATAGACTACTCAACAAAGAGACTTATTCTGGAAGCATGCTATCAGCCCCAAAATAGAGCCATCGGAGATATTAACCCTTTGTGCCATGCCTGGAGAGCAGGAAGAAATTAAACAAGCCTCGGGCCCCAGTGAGCATCCCGGGGCTTCCCCCATCAGCATCCAGCAACATGGAGATTCCCGCCGAGAAACTGCCCTGGAAGGGCCGGCACTCTGGGGACATCTCAGTATGACACACAAGAGACACTAGACAGAGTCCATCTCACCTGCCTCCACAGAGCCTCAGCATTTGCCAGCGTTTTTCAAAGCAGCAGCAACAAATGCCCCCACACAAATTCAGTATCTACCCTTGAACAGCTCGATGCCTGATTCCAAGACCCTGCCGACTCTGGGATCAGCAAGAATTTCTCAAAACAGAAGTCTCAGAGTTCTGCCCCTGGGCAATAGGATTTGGGCAGTTAGAACCAGGCAGACTGTAGTAAACTGAGGCTCTCTGCCTGAAGCGTGGAGAAAATCTGCCCTGGAGGCCTGGGCCAGGACCCTGCAGAGCTGGAGCTGGGGGAGTCCAGGCAGGATGCAGCTGAGGACAAAGCAGTCTGGATGTCCTCCACCCGGCTCACTTTTAGAGAGATGCAAAGGGGGAAAAAATCTTAGTTTCCACCCTGGAGGTATGCTGCTTCCTTCAAAGACCACTGCTGCTCAAAGGATAAGTGATCCGTCCCGTGCCCTGAATCAGAGCTCTGACATTCCGCATTATGATGGAAGTTCTCTGCAGAAGTAGCCGCAACCTCTGTGTGCTCTCCAAGCAGCGCCAACAGCAGGACCACCGTTGCGGGCACCCTGGGGCTGGGCCCTGCAGGATGCTTGGCAGCTGGAGGTGCAAGTCCTACCAGGCAGAAAGATCACTGGCTCCTTATGAGCTTAGGCACTCACTCCAGATTCCCCGCCCCCGGCCTCCATCCAGCCAGACCTTTGTTACTGCTCCCCACTCGGAAGGAGAATGTTACCACGCTCACTGCTGGCAGAAGCTGTGTGCAGCAACAAGAGATAATCACCGCTGAGGGGTGGGAAGGGGCTCCAAGAGCCTGCCTTGTCCACCCCCTGCCTCTAGGCAGAATTATGTCCAAAACATCCTCCCGGAACCTGCTCTTGCCTGACTCTTCAGATTTCAGAGGTTGGGACAAGGAAAAAGAGTTCTCAGGTTGCCTCAGTTATGGCAGCTGTATCTCTAAGTGAAAATTCAGGACACCAGGTCCAACAATAAAAAAGAGATGTTTGGGATTTCATCAAGTGTAATTTGCTCCCACTTAAGACACTAATAGAGGCTTATTATAGAATATTTGAGAAATATAAGGAAAAGCTGAAAGGAGAGAAAAACATCACCCACAGTCCTGCTACTGAAAGGAAAAGCATTTTGTAACACTTGGTATAATTGCTTCCATTCTTTTTTATATGTCTGTTTTTGGGGAAACGGGGGAGGGGAAAGAAAGGTGCTTCTTTGTTTACATATAATCACGATCATACTGTGTTTATGATTCTGCATCTCCATTTTAAAAAACTTACTGTAATATAAATATCTTCTCCATTATTTTAAACTAATTCACATCATCTTAAATGACTGCATCACATTCCATCAACTAGATATGCTATTACTCTTCTGTAAGACAAAGAAAAGAGTAACTGGATTTGTGATTGGCCCAAGAAATCCAGGACAAATGGACACTTTTGCCATTTCTGCACCTTACAATTCTGAGCGCTAACTTTAATTGCCCTCCTCTGCATCCTGACCCCATGTCCCCCTCCCCACCTGGCTTCTGAGATGCTGGCTGGGGAGCTTCTCCCAGCTATTAGCACAGGAAGAAAGATGACTGCCCCACAGCTTTGGGTAGGTCAGGAAAGAGGACACAACTCCCATCTAGGGAGCCAGCAGGGAACAGATTTTGGCTACAGAGGGACTGGTTATGTCCCCAGCATCCATGAGGGACAGTGGTGGGCAAGAGGGAAAGAAGAATAGGAAAAAACACACAAAGACAACTCTGTTCCTCATGGACACCACCACTCAGCTACACCCATAAGAAAGCTTATTAGGAGATATGACTCAAGTTCAAACTAAATCTGCCCCAAGGAGGAGACTGTGTTGTCTCTGCAAAGAGGGGACATGTCTTCACCAGGGGTCCCCAGTGGGCAGAGACAGCTCCCAACACAAGCAATAGACTCAACTGTTATCCAGCAGTCCCTGAACTGGCTCTTTGAAAGAACAAGGCACACAGAGCTACCCACTAGTCCAAGTAATGAGATCTGCCTTTAGAGGACATTCGTAAGAAGCTCCTCAACATGCATCATGATCTCTCAGGTCTTCTAAGTTTGAGCATGACTTTCAGAAATAACTATGAGTTATCTGGAATTACAAATAGCTTTAAAAAAAAAAAAAAACAGTCATGGTCATGTTTGGGAACACCATTTGGTATCCAAAAATGGGGTTATGAAAAAAGTTTCAAAAATAATTTTCTCACTTGGCTAAAAAACTGGCTTGATGGAAACTCCAAGAAGTGGTTTACGCCAATGGTCTGAGCAACGGAAATGTCAGTGGTGCATGTGTATAGTCTCCTGCAGAGACAACACTGAAAGGAACATCACTCACTTGGATTCTGGTACATTTGCTTTCAGCTAGTTACATCTTACGGGTGTTTCCCACTTAAGAGCTCAGTGGGACAGACACTGATTTGTCAACCAAAACCACTCCTCAGACAGTACACTCTTCAGAGTGTACTCTATTGACAAGTCTCACCCAAGAACTTCCCTCCCCAGAGAAAAGCTTGTGCCCCTGAGCTGAGCAACTGCTCATTTAGTTCCCACCAGCATGTCCTCAGGCACATTGAGTCACCTCAGATCCCAGGGAGAAGAGACCAAAAAAACTTGCACACACAGACTCTTGGTGTCATCAAATAAAACCTATTAACTTAAAAGGCTGTTTGCCAGGTTTCTGTGCTATCTGGATTCCCCAAGTACAGTGGGATGATCTGAACAAAGACCTCCCTTTCCTTGGCTTGGGCTGCATGTGAATGCTGATTATTTTACTGGAGGGGTGTGGGCTGAAGTTGGAAACAGTGAGCTAGAATTTTAATGCAACTGCCTCCCATCTGAAATGAACAAAAGAAGTAAGGACTACACAAAATCAGTCTGGAGAAGCCCAACTGGAAAGTGGCTTGATTCTCCTCCGAACTTTGTTATGGATGTCAGGTGAGCTTGGGCAGGAGGTCGCTTTCTCTGTCCCTCCATTCCACATGTATAAAAGGAGTGCTTCTGCTTCCTGAATATTTGGGACTAAATGCACATGTAAGATACTGACAGATGTAAGAAAAGGAGGTTATAAATACAGAAGCACTTTTTTCTGTTGGGTCTGAATTTAGGTGAGTTTGGTTAATGGGATCCTCAGCTGCCTGTCAATCAACAGTGTGAACTAAAGCAGGCTGAAGTGGGGTCACAACCAGACCATTCCCCAACCTCTCTGTCACAACAGGGAGGTCACTAACCCAAATATCACCAACCCTTAAAAGACAGGGCAAGGTCAAGCAAGCAGAGGGACTGGGCTGTATTTGTTGAGCACCTACCGTGTGCCAGGCACTTTGCCTACATTATGTTATTTAACCCTGCAGAGTCAGTTTTAGCATCTCCATTTCTAGATGAGGAAATAGGCTCGGAGAGATTAATGACTTTCCCAAGACAGAGAAGCTGGACTTCCAAGCCTGGCTTTGCCCCAAAGTGATCAGCTGTGGCAAGGCCCAAGGTCTGAGGGAAGCAGGTGTTTGCTCTTCTCAGCTCAAGACCAATCCCCAAACCAAGAGGATCCAGGGATAGTGGAGAAGAACCCAGAACACCTGGATCTCAGCCAAGTCCTGCAGCTTACAGACTCCTCTACAAGTCGTATGAGTTCTGGTGCCTCAGTTTCCAGTTTTCCAAATGGGTAAAAACCACCTCTCATCTCACAAGGTAGTAGAATAGATTGAAACGACGCTTTGAAAACCATGAAGCACTGCATGAAATGAAAAGGATTATTTGTAATTGTTACCAGTAGAGACCCCAGAACTTAAATGCCAGCTATACTTTACTTTTATTTCTAAGGCATTTCTCTCTAGACAGCCCAAGGTGCCAAACAATTAACTTTAAACAACAAGCATTTCCTATAAACATCCCTATAAATATCTTATCTGAAACTTTTTTTTAAGTGTAGCAACCCCGTGGCTGAGGGATTCGGCTCCCATTTTCCCCCCAGGAGAATATTAAGGCCAGAGACATCAAGGATATGACAGGAGATTAGAAAGCTATGGGGAAACAGAAATCTTTTACTGAGACAATCTCATTAAATGACACCTGTCTCCCATTAATTCCTGGGAAAAAGGGCCCCAAATTCATGCTCTGTATTCAAGGATTCTACACACAGAGAGCTCAGCTAAAATTGCTGGTAAGAGAGGAGGGGTGAATGAGAAG